GAACATGTTTTTATTGCTCTTGGGTTAATATTTAGGAGCAGAGCTGCGCGTCGTCAGTGGATGTGGTTGGTGAGAAGTTGCAGACTCTGCTGAGAGCAGCTGTGCTGTCCCCACCAGTGACGTTTGGAGTCCATTTGCTCCGTGTCCTCGCCCACACTCCATGTTGTGATTCCTTTAATTTCTTGTTCTCGTTGGTTGTCCTGGTACTTCACTGTAGCCTTAAGGTGTGTTTTCTGGTGACTGACTCTGTTGAGCACTTTGTCCCTTGTTCACTGAGCCTCTGTGGTGTGGGCGCAGCCGCTCTGGCCCAGTGCTCACTCTCCGCGTGCATCCGGTGATTCTCTGTGTTCTGCTTCCAGCCTGTCTGTATTCAAGCTATATATAAATGTATTTACAGTACACTGCTTGTAGACACACAGTTTGGTTTTGCTTTTAATCCAGTCTGACAGTCTTTTAAATGGAGCATTTACTGAATTTAATATGATCATCGATTTGGAGAAGTTTAGAGCTGTCATTTTACTTTTTGTGTTCTGTTTGTTTCATTTGGTTTTTTTGTTTCTCTCTTCCTACTTTCCAGTTAACTTTGCACCAGCTGGGTCTTACTGAGGCTTTCATTTCAGTTTATTTACTGACTGTTGTGCTATAATTCTTGAATTCCTTTAATAGTTTAACGGTAGCTCTAGGGATTATGATACAGTGGACCCTCCAGAGCTGACCACCTCCCCATGTTGACCTCTTCAGGTTGACCCAGTTTTCATAGACCAGCCAGGCCCCATGCATATTCAGTGGAAGGCTGACTGACCTCTCTGTACCGACCAACCCTGTAAGTTGCATCTTGGCCACTTGGACTATGACACACACTATTGTTGACCAGTTGAGTCCACTCTGCACCAAGGGGCAGAAGGTGTAGGCTTATCCCCTTAGTGGTATTTTTTTCTTTAGCATAAGTTCTTTTTTCATGTTTTGTCATTACCACGGGTTGGATTAGTCCTGTGTTTACCACGTGTTGTGGAAGATTTTTTTCAACATGAAGGACTGGTCTAAATTGTGGGTACATCCTACAATTGCTTAAAAAATGTATAGTTACTGGAGATACGGTGGCCCAAAGGAAAGAACTCACAGAGCTGACATTGAAGGAAAAGGTTGATCTTCTACATTTTCTGGAAAACAGCCAAAGGAAGACAGCAGAGCATTTTGGTGTTAGAGAGACTACAGCAACATTCAAAATGTGAACATGGGAACTTGGAGAGATACGTGATGAAAGTGGAGACCTACAGTGGAAAAAGAGGAAAGCCTCCCTCGATGAAGCTAGTGAAGCCGCAGGAAGCTGGTTCACACCAATGAGGGCAGGTAACACCCAGATCTCTGGCCAGTGATTCAAGAAGCTGCTAAAAGATTTGCTCAGGAATTCGGGGTGACATACTTCCAAGTGACACACAATCTCCCGGAAAGTCGTCTGTGGTGAGTCCAATGAAGGTCTAGGACAGCAGGTTGTGACCCACAGGAGCTGTATTAAAGGGCCGCGGCATTAGGAAGGTTGAGAACCACTGGTCTAGGAGGAATTGTGAAGACTTTGCTAGAAAGTTCCCAGACTTCACCAGAGGCTTCAAAAGTGACAACATCTTTAACACTCACAAATGTAGACTCTTTTTTTTTTTCAAGAGATTTGACGTGATGGATGACAAACATAAAAGCAGAAACTTTCCAAAGAACATCTCACACTCTGCTTTGTACTGGCTCAAGCGGAGGGAAACTAAAGCCCTTTGTGACTGATGGATCAGCAAAGCCCCTTGCATTCAGGACCTTCCTGTCACTTGAAGATCAGGCAGTTGTACATGGATGGCTGGTGCCCTGTCTGGGGAGTGGGTAAGGAGCACTGACTGGGACGTGAAGAAGAAAGGGTCTGTTCCACTGACAGTAGACAGCTGTCCTGACCACCCACAGGTGAGTCATCTCACAAACGTGACACTGAAATTTCACTTCCAAACATGACCTCAAATGTCCAACCTCTTGACCAAGTCACCATAAAAACATTTAAAGTGCATGAGTGAGCCCAGCTCCTGCAGTGGGTCATCACTGAAACATCAACCTGAGGGCCTTCTGTGGGGTGACCTCACCTGCTGTATCAGTTAACACTCTGGACTCTGTCCTCTGGGTCCGTGCTGCTTGGAATAAAGTTCAGCCAGAAATGACGCAGAAGTGTTTCAAGAAAGTTGGATTTGTCACAACCCCAGAGCAGTATGTTTTGGCCCCATCAGATAGTCCGTCTCCCAGGGCAGATTTCACAGGAGTAGACTTGGAAGGTTTCGTTACAATGGATGGGGGTGGCAACCTGCAATGAACCTGACCCAGATGCAACATTCTGAGCCACACTGACTGATGTACAGACCAGGTGAAAGTGCATGAAGCATCTGATGAAGTAGAGGAAGCAAGTGAGGGAGGCACAGAGACTGTGGAGACCCCACAGGAGGAGGGCACCAGGTACCTGGTGGGAGAGAGTCCTCTGTTGTGGGAAAGCGCCCGGTTGTGCTGAGTGGCATGGCCAGCATCAAGGGGGCTCTCTCACTACGTTTGTAAGGAGAAAAAGAGACAGACCAAGACTGAGTCTTTTTTCAGAAAGAATGATTAAACCACTAGAAAATAGTAAATGATTTTGTAAAAACAGCAAATTGGCTTTGTATGATACTGAACATATGATTTTACTGTGTTTTGATTGTGAGTGCTTTCGTATGGTATTTTCTGATAAAAGTTGTACAAGAAAGTGAAGGACATGGACATATCACTACAGCAGGCCTGGTTCCTCAGGCTGCCCACCTCCGTATGGTGACCAGCTTGTCACAGTTGTTTGGGTGGTCCCCTTGCAGAGGTTCCATTGTATCTGTCTGTAGTGTTAGTATGTGACACGTCCGTCTGTGGTGTCAGTGTTGTGACGCATCACACAGAATGAAACCGTCTTGTGACCGCGTCCAGCCACTCCTTTGTGAGCTCCTGTTTCACGTGTCATGGCAACGTGTGTTATAAACCCACTCTGCAATGTTATACTTTTGCTTTAAGTTGTCATGTATGGGTTTTAAAGAAATTAAGAGAAAAAACAGTCTTTTACATTCTTTGAATTTTTAGCTTTCCTGGCACTGTACATTCTTTCCTGAAGGTACAGATTTCCATTTGTATCATTGAACTTCAGCCTGAAGAATTTCCTTTGAGATTTCTGCGAGTGGGTAAACTAGAACAACTGCTCCTCTGCTCTCAGGGTGCGCAAGCGATTGACAGACTTGTCTGTGGCCAGCCATGTCAGGGCCCCTACATACCAGCAGGCAGCCGGGTCTGCAGCAGACACCAGCGGGGTGTCCCAAGTCAGTGCTGACATCTGCCCAGAGCGAGCATTAGATCCCACAGGTTGAGGCTCCGTCTCGCAAGACCACCCTGCCTCCTCACCAGTCAGAAGTGTGACTTCAAGTACCAATTCCCACCACCCCCTCTTTGGATTAACTTTTTAGAGTGACTCACAGAACTCAGGGAAACCCTTTACCAGTTCATTACAAGGATATTTTAGAGGATACAGATGAAGAGATGCCTAGCGTGTGGTCTGGGAGGGACCCTAGCTCAGGAGCTCTGTTCCTGTGGAGTGGGGGTGCGCCACCCACTCCCCAGCACTAGTGAGTTCCTGTTCACTGCCTGCACACTCCCTGAAAGCCTCAGAGCTCCATGCTCTTGGGCCTTGTATGGAGACATCCTTGAATAGGTGTGACTGAAGCATCAACAGCCATGTAGAAAGGACTGGACAGAAAACCGTGATCCACACCAGCAAGGCCCATCTGCTCAGACACTTCCCTCCCCTGTGCAGCCTCCTCCCTTAGCTGTGGGACCTCCTCTCTGGAGTGAGGTCTTTTGCCCCACAATCTTGATTGGAATCCCGCCGTGGTAGTTTGTATAATCTACTTTTCCTTCTGATCATCAGGTCAAATGAGTTTTATCACTCCATCTTCTAGTTCATTAATTTTTTTTTCTCCCATTTCACATCTGCTGTTGGGTCCTTCAGTGAATTTTTCATTTCAGTTATTGGAGTTTTCAACTCTGGAAATGCTGTTTGGTACTTTGTTTTGTTTTGTTTTGTTTTGAGGCAGAGCCTCAAGCTGTCCCTCTGGGTAGAGGGCTGTGGCATCACAGCTCACAGCAACCTCCAACTCCTGGGCTCAAGTGAGTCTCCTGCCTCAGCCTCCCAAGCAGCTGGGAACATAGGCGCCCACCACAACGCCCGGCTATTTTTTGGTTGCAGCTGTCGTTGTTTGGTGGGCCTGGGCTGGATTCAAACCCACCACCTTAGGTGTATGTGGTTGGCGCCTTAGCCACTTGAGCCACAGGCGCCGAGCCTGTTTGGTACTTTCATATAATTTTTATTATTATGGACATCTCATATTTGTTGAATCATTTTATTATGTTTTCCCCTAATTATTTAAACACAGTTTTCTTTATTTCTTTGAACATATTTGAATGGCTTTGAGCATACTTTGAAGTCTCTGCTAAACCCGACCTCTGTGCCTGCAGCAAGAGTTCTAGTGACAGCTTACTTCCCAAGGATAGGTCACATTTTCGTTTTCTTTTTAGTTCGTGAAGCTTTTATGTTGAAAGTGGAAATCTTTGATAATATAGCAGCTTTGTATTCTAAATGTTAAGTGATGGTCATGGCTGCTGCTTCTATTTGTTTTATTTTATTTACTCATTAATATAAATTCATTGCAGAATATCTCCTCTGCAGAGTTGTGTTAAAGAAAATCTCAGGTGTCCATTATATCGTTTTATCCCAAGTACTGAAGAGTACTGAATAGAATCTACTTCTAGAATGTGAGAAGTTACTATCTTGTCTTACTTTTGTTCCCTAGAACGATGTATGAAATGCTGACAGCTTTTCTTCTCCGTGGCAGGCAGCGTAACTACACTTAAAGCTCTGAATTTAAGACACTGTCCTCTGGAGTTCCCTCCGAAAGTCATAGTGCTGAAGGGTCTGGCCGCCATCCAGACCTTCCTGCGCATCTGTGCGGTGGAGCGCTCGCTCCCTAGGGACCCCGCCTCACAAGGTTTGTACAGCATCTACTCACACTTCATTAGAACTCACGTCAGAGAGATTTAAAATTTGGCCTGTCTTCTCCTGAGTGAAGTTGTGTCCTTTGCTATACTGTCGCCATTTCTGTCCCTTCCCTTGGTTCTGTGACATCTCAGTGCTCCTCGGGCAGTCCCCCTAGAGTGGGTCGTGGGGATGGCTCTGCACAGGAAGCCATCACTCCCTCCAGGACACAGCAGGCTTCAGGAATCTTTGGTGTTCCATTAGACAACTATTTGAAAATAAGTACAGTGAAATGTCTCTTATTCTTAGCTAAGTGCAAGAAATTGGCTTCAAGACTGCTTTACAAACATATTTTTGTCTAGTCACCTTTGTGGTGGTCACTCCACTCACTCGCTGCATCCATGTTTTCAGCACACCGACCAAGGAGATATTGATGCTCGTGATGTGTTCTGATCTTGCGTATGCATCGTGGTTACACTCAGAGAAAGCAGAGTAAAGTTGAGATAAAGGAAAACCATGATAAGTGCTCACCAAGGAATTAAATATTCTGAAATACTAAGTTCAGAATTTCTAAAATTGTGTGGGATATGGTTAATAGGTGTAAATAATCAGGTCTTTGCAATAGTAAATAGTTTTCAGTGATCTAGAGCAGGCGTCCTCAAACTATAGCCTGCAGGCTACATGCAGCCCACATACAGCCCACCTAGGACATTTATCCGGACCGCCAAGTGTTTTTGCTGCCGCTGCCTGTCCTGCTTAGCAGCTGACTTGTCCCGGGGCCCGCAGTCCAGCCCTCCAACGGTCTGAGGGACAGTGAACTGGCCCCCTGTTTAAAAAGTTTGAGGACCCCTGATCTGGAGTCACTAGTTGACCTCTCTCCTTCATTAGCTTTTTTGTAGAAGTGTTATTAACAAGGGTCTAACAGGCCTTCCATTGGGCACTGAAGCCATGCAGGTCTGGGTGCCCTGGAGCCACCTGTGGAGAGCACCCGGGATGTCAGCAGGTCTCTGGTCTTCACATCTGGTACCCAAGGTCAGTTAGAAGTTAGCCCCCCCACCAGTGGCTGCTGTAACGTCCCCTCAGGGTTTTAATCAAGGGAAGGTGTCCAAGGAAGGAAGATTAATTACTTTTTGGCTACAGAGGAATAGAGAGAAGCATCCTTTTCTCAGTTTGTTGGTCCCTTTTATAAACTGAAACTAGTGGCTTTATCTTTTCTGCTTTTGTGTTTTGTTTTACTTTCATTTTGTTTGGTTTTTCCATGAATGCCTTGGAGAAGATTCTCCAGGGACTGACTCTTAGGTACTGGGTGCCCTGAGGGGAGGTGTGTTAGCTGTAGGCAGAGCAGAGCACTGATGTGGCTTAGAGAGAGAGAGAATGTGGGGGGCATTGTGTCCCCATGTAAGCAAGTGCTGGCCAAGGTGAGCAGGAACAGTGTGCTCAGTCCTGCTCTTGGTCCGTGGGCAGTGGCCCCGGGGTGCACGGCTATCCATGTTGGTTGTATCTGTCACACCTCTTCCTTGATCCTCAGAGGCAGTTCCTGAAACAAGGATTCAAGAGCCAGGTGCTCATCTGAGCACCAGAATAGGCCTTGGGGAGTGAGATGGGGGCATAGCCCAGGTGCCACCAGAGCCTAGCTTTGCACCCTGTCAAACGCGGACCCTGAGGCCACGCCCAGTTCATAGGTGAGGATCAGCACTGTTCCGAGGTCCCAGGGGATTTGCATGTACACACGGGTGCCTGTGAATGAGTTTACAGTCTGGGTCCTCTTCGGACACCATAGGTAGTAGGTAAATACATTTTCGTTTGCAATAGTTGATCTATAGCTAGAGATGCCGTGTTTAAAAGTCAACAAAAGCATCGCCAAACATGAAAAGCAGCATAATGGCCTAAAAATTAGTGAGAAATAAAAGTCCTAATAGAGGCATCCACCCTTTTTCTTTTCTGCCGCACATTGGAAGAGTTAAGAGTTGTCCTGGGGCACACAGTAGGTCCGCAGACAATAACAAGCTGCTGAGCTGAGCACAGGTCCGTGTGTACTTTTCTGGTGTCCAACACTGCAGACAAGCAAAACAGTCCTTAGATCTACATGCAGCCCCTGGCCGCATGCCAGACACTCCTGCGTCTAGAGGAAGCAGAAATGAAGATTAAATGCTGCGAGACTGTCCCATGCACACGTGTGAGATGCTGTCTCAGAGCTGCAGGCCTGTGTGTAGAAACTGGTGCTCTGCTCCTGTGCCCGTGTGGACACGTCCTGGGGGACGTGGGGGGGCTGCTTCATAAACAGGCTGTTTGTGAAGCTTGGCGTGGAGTGGGCCCACCTTCTAGGCCTCTCGTTTTCCTCTCTCTCTGAGGGGCGGTGTTGACTGCTGGCTACTAAAATGACGTTTCATTCTGCCAGAGATGCCACCAGTTAAAACAGCATTCCTAAGTGGCCTTCCAAATCCTGCCTTGCAACTGCCTGAAGAATATCTGCCTAAGGGGAAAACCGCCGGCTGTCAGGACCTGAAGGGGGCCCTGTTGGAAGGCAAATCCATCTTCCTTCCGCCTGTGGAGAATCTGGACCAGCGGGACCAGAGGAAGTCATTGGACTCGGCGGAGCACTGGCCCAGTGAGGAGGAAATCAGGCGCTTCTGGAAACTCAGGCAGGAGATTGTCGAAAATGAAAAAGCTGAAGTTCTCGAGAATCAGCTCCTGCCGGCCAAATTGCCTCCAAATCTCACGGCAGCATTGAACAGTGAGAAAGAACGTCCGAAGCCAAGACACATTTCCAGGTAAAACTTAAAAGCAAAGGGGTATTTTCTTGATCTTTGCAAATTTATGATAATTTGGTTATCTTTTAAAACATTGCATCTGAATTTTAAAGTGTTCCCACACTGCCATCTTTCACTGTCAGTGAATACTGACCCTGGGCTTGTGGTCAAAATTGCCCAGGTGCCTGGGTGGGAAAACCCAGGTGGGAAAACAGCGCAATAGGAAGTTATGGGAAAGAAACACTCAGCTCATGGGCAACAAGTGCTGTGCACCTTGCATGTGTCTGGTGTGTGTCTGTACGAATACAGAAACACGGCAAGCTTAAGGTGACCAGATGTCCTGCTTTTTAACAATTTGTCCCGTGTCCTGCTGTTATTTTAAAAAAGTCAAGATTTTTGGAAAGAATGCATGACAAGCTAGGGAACAGCGGGAGAATGGGAAGGGAATATATAGTTTGCAGCTGCTGAAAAGGTTAATGTAACTCCATTTGGGAATGAAGAGGTTACTGTAACTTCATTTGGAAATGAAAAGGCTAATGTAAACTCCCTACTCCCCTCTTGGGCAAGGTCGCCCAGGTGGAACTGGTATCAGAAGGAGACTGCCCCCTTACTTTGCTTCTAGGCAAGGACAATTAACTCAGAAGGAGCTAAACTGTCTGGAACAAACAAGTAGCGCCCCCCACCCCCAGTAAGGTGACCAGACGTCCCACTTTTGGCGGGAAGTCCTGATTTTTAACAATTTATCCTGCGTCCCACAGTGTTTTAAAAAAGTCCAATTTTTGGAAAGAATGCACAACAAGCTAAGGAACATGGCAGAACAGGAAGGGAATATATGGTTTTGGGCTGCTATGTGGCTATTTCACCAGGATATGAGTTTTATATTATTTTTGTTAATTTTATAATGTTAAACTTTAATAATAACAAATAATTGTTGAGAATTGATTATCAAGAACTGCTTATCAAAGTTTGCGTTGTTGTCAGGCCCCGCCCTCCCCCCCTCAGTGGTGTCCCGCTTTACCAGTGTTAAAATCTGGTCACCTTAGGCAATCTGCCACAGCTGGTGAATCTGAATTGTGTGTTCGAGAGGGGATGTTACCACACCCAAGGGCACAGAAGTCATCTCTTGGGGTGGAGACATCATGGCGGCTGCAGTGGTTTGAGGCCCTCCAGAGCTCTGCCCTGCGGACAGTGTGAACAGAGGCTCCACGGTCTGGTGCTAAACCATGCTGGAGGGGCTGTTACCTCCAAAATACATCTGGAAAGGCTGGATTGGGGGCATGTTAAAGGCAGGTGGGAAGCCTCTGCAGGAAGGGGGTTAGGTCTTTACTACATTGTCTCAGGTCCTCTGTAGAGTTGCACGGTTTAAAAATAAAAGAACCTTTGAACATCACTAATAGGGTGCACCTGGAGCAGCTCCCACCTGGCTTGGCCTCAGGCCTGGGCTGCTGTGACTCTCTCAGTCCGTGTGGGAGGGGCAGGAATACAGATACCTGCTGTTCCCTCTTAGAAACCTCCTCTTTCCCTCACTCCCTCGTTTATTTATTGTGATGAATAATAGTAGTAATGTTGGGGTGCCCTAAAGGGGGCCTCTCCCCTGCTGCACCAGAGTGAGCTTTATGAAAGCCACTTTGTGCCTCGGTTTCCCTTCCTGGTGGGTTGTGTGAGATCACACGTATTATATGTGCTCAGTGTTCCTACTTGGTCAGGTTGTTTGTTGTGGGAAAAGCTCTGAGAGTGTGATGCGGCCTGTACCCAGTATGACGGCCCTTCCTGGTGGTCTATGACTGGAGGTGGCCTTTCCGCCAGCCTCTGCCCCAGGGGCAGCGGGTGTGGTAGGGGCGCGAGGCCCAACCAAGGCAAATGTCAGCCCTGTATCCAGGCCCATGGTGGACTCTGTCCCTCAGGTGTCTCTCAGGTTGAGTGAGGGGCACAGGAGATCTGGAGAGGGTGGTGTTGGCCCTGCCTGACTGGGGCTGCCGGCGTGCCTGGGGGAGGGAGGCCCATGGCAGGCTGGCCCTGCCCACTCTTTTCTGTTCCCCACGGAACAAGGACATGCTGCAGCTGCTCAGGTTGAGCTCTGGGGGAGGAGGCTGTGGTACCCAGTTGCCCACCCAGCCACATTGGCATATAGGTGCAGAGATCACAGAAGTGTGTCCTTAGGAAACACCAAGATGCCAGTTTCAACGGACTCTCCTGGAAGGCTGATTTCAAGGAATGAGGAGCTAAGTTAGTGGGGCTCGGGGGTGGCATGAAGATAAAGAGCATTGAGATACGCTAAGGAGTGCAGGTCTGCGGAGCCCAAGGGCGCTCATGTTGAAACTCAGGCAGAAAAGTCACACCATGTGGGCGGCACCTGTGGTTCAAAGGAGTAGGGTGCGGCCCCATATGCCAGAGGTGCGGGTTCAAACCCAGCCCCGGCCAAAAACTGCAAAAAAAAAAAAAAAAGTCATATCATGTAAACATCTCAGGGCTGAATAGTGGTCTAGTCCCAAACCCAGGTTAGGTTAGGGGAGGGAAGATACACTTTCCAAGCTCATCAAACACAGCACTGTTGTGTGACTGGACATCCTGCCCAGCCCCGACTCTGATGTCTGGCAGGCTGTCTACTAATGTCTCTTCACCCTCCTTGAGACTCTCTGACCCCAGAGGAAAACTGATGTCCCAACAGAGAGTCTAAAGCTGGCTGTTATTCCAGATCTAGTACATTAAAAACCACCCCTAGCACTTGTTCCAGGTGTCGCACAACCCAGGATGCAGGCTGTGCCTGCCGAGGTCTGTGCTCAGCCTCAGCGCAGAAGATGAGTGGCTGGCCTCCAGGGACGTGCCACCTGGTGTGAGCACTTGGACGTGGCTGGTAAGGACGTGCTGCTGGTGTGAGACTAATAACCAGGGCAGGCCCTCTCCACTGGCAAGGGCAGGGTTTCCAGCTGTGTTTCCTAAGCCAGGGTGAGAAGGCCTAGTGTTCTGGAATGTGAGGTCTGACAGTTAAGTTTTCAAACTCATCCTAGAAAAAGTGCTGCACACCTCATTGCTGAGTATCACTGTAGTCACCTGCGGAGTTCTCCCGTTGGAGAGCCGTGCACCAGTGCCAGAGCCTAGTCCACTCTTCAGAGCAATTCTGGAACTCTTTTTCTGGAATGGCCACCAGAGCCTTTGCTGTATTACCCTTCAGGTCCTGAATATCATCAAAATATCTTCTTTTCAATATCTCCTTTATCTTCAGGTAAAGAAAAAAGTCATTGGGGATCAGATCAGGTGAGTAGGGAGGATGTTCCAATACAGTTATTTGTTTGACTAAAAACTCCCTCTCAGTGCTTTGTGAGCTGGTGCATTGTTGTGATGCAAGAGCCATGAGTTGTTGGCCAAGGTTTTCAGTTAAGATTTTCCTAACTTTCTCTGTCAATGCTTACTTTGTCTGCTGTGTTTCTCACAGTCAGCCGATGATTTTTGCTCACAATTTGATAGTGTTCTTATTGGTTCTACCTGTTACTGGCCACCCTTACCTCGCTTCATCAGTGACACTTTATCTCCCCTCAGAAAATCATTTAGTCCATCTGTACACTGCATTTTCTTCATGGCATTATCCCCATAAACTTGGATTAACATGTCCCTGACATCACTTCCACTCTTGCTGAGTTTAACAGGAAATTCAATGCTTGCTTGTTGCTCTAATTCAAGCTCCAGCATTGTCAGGACAGCACACAAAAACGTAATAATGATTGCTAACAGCAGGACACACCACACGTTCACACACACACAGCTGTGAGCTGATACACCAGGGCTAGGAGCACTCACTGAGCTGTTTGTACAGTGCTGCTCACGGAAGCACATGGTGGCAAGTTCATGAACTTACTTGTCAGACTGAATGGTTCAGAGCCACTGTTTCCACCTTGATGTTTTAACAGACAGGAGTTTTAATGGAGAGAAATACCAGAGCATGCCTGTCGGTTCTCTCTGCACAGGTGAGGAGAGGGTATTCCTCAGTCACTGGCTGTTCTCTGTGTCCTGGCTTCCCTCAGGGGACATAGTAGCTGTCCCCAATCTAACTAACCATGCTTACAGAAGCCAGGCACATGTCTGTGCTCCTTTCTGTGCCCTCCCTCTGACTCCCCTGATCCTGGCACGGGGATTTCTGACCCCATATACCTGAACTCCAGCTGCTTCTGGCCCCGGCTTGCTCCTTTAGCCTCTGTCCAGGCCAGACAAGGGCACCGTGTCAGAACAGCCTGCCCAGTGCTCCACTGCCCTCACATGTGTTTCCTGACACTGTGGCTCTTTGAAGATGTGGGGCATTATCCATTCATCGATATGTTTCCTAGAGTTAACCCAAATCAGCCCTTTGGATTTCCGCAGTTGACAGTCGCCATCTTGTCTGCTGAGCAGTTGAGCCACAAGCCCAGCTGTTACATTTTAAGTCTGTCTGGGAACATTGTGTCTCATACAGATAAGAGTTACCTCGCAGGGTTTTGTAAATGTTCCTAAAAACCTGGTGTAATTTTAGAAGGAAGATCCCCTCCTTCAAGAACACCTTACCTCATCTCTCATCATCGTACCAGACGGTGATTCAAGCAAGAACACTGGAGGAAAGCCGGACAGCAGCCCTGGGGCAGCTCCGGGAGAAGCAGGCTCCGATGGGGCAGCAGCGGCGGCGGCGGTGAGTCTCGGGGCGGAAGCCATTCCTCCCTCTCTGCTCCCGGCACTGGGTCTGTGTCCCTTCCCTTGGAAGCCAAGCTGTACTCCCCCCTCTGGTCTGCTGCTCTTGGGCAAGGGACCATTCCGTTCTTGTCCATAGTCACTGAGGCTGCCATGGGGTCGCCACAGGTAGCAGCTTCTTCATGCCAGTCTGCTCGGGCCTCCTCGCATGCCTGCCTTCTTTCCTGGGCTCTCCAGTTTCTTCCTTTCCCTCAGTGCTTCGCTCCTCACGTTCCTGCTCAGCCTGCAGGTCTCCCTGAGGAACTCTCTTTAGAAACAATGGGGTCATCAGTGACCTCCCACTAGCATCCCCACCTCGTTGGGGGTGTACTAGTTGGCTCGATGGCTGGAGTCCTGTCCTCAGTGTCTTCTCTGTCCTCCAGCTCCACCGATCACCTGGCTCAACCCCGCTTGGGGCCTCAGAAGGCCAGCCAACATGGACCACGTCCACATTGCCCCCGTACCCCTCACCTCGTAGTTGGGTTCGGCCAGTGGGGGCCCCCTACAAGAGCTCTGGGAGAAAGGGGAGAGCAAGAGCCGAGTCTTTATGTCCCTGACCTCTCTGAGAGCTGCCTGGCACTGGCCGAGTCTAGCTTCCCCTCCCTTCTGGGTTCTGGCAATCTGTCCTTCCCTGGTCTGTTCCAAGTGCCAGGGCACAGCTACAGCCCAGCCATGACCAGCCCAGGGCTCCTGCACTATGTCTGTGGTTCGCCTGCCCCCTCCCTCTGTGAATAAACCCTCCTGAAGCCGTCCTGAGTGTGCCGTCTATTTTCTCAGGGACTTTCCGTGAAGACTGTGCCACGTGCAGGCTCTGGGAGGCTCCCTGCCTCACTGACATTCAGGCCAACCTCGTAGTTGGTTGTCCTTCCTTCTTTAAAAGGATGGGTGATGTTAAGCCTGTGCTCCCTCTTCACATGCAGGGAAGAGGCCCCGTAACTGCCCACAGGCTGCACTGGGAGGTCGACCCTCTAGGATATGGTCACACTGGTCACAGGCCATAGCTGTCAGGGCCCGGGGAGCCCCTGCAAGTCTCTCCTGAGCAGCCGCAGTCTGTGCAGAGCATCTCGCAGGGCAGTTGTACAGGACTGGGCTTTCCCTCTGGCAGGTGGTCCCTCCTCCCTTGTTTCTGCCCATTTCTGTGCTGCTTTCTGAAACCAGCTGACTGCTCTGACCACCCCCCCAACCAAGCACTTTCTACCCACACCACCCACTGTGCCCTTGTTCTCCTATGAATCCTGTTTCCCCATCATGATTGGGAATGTGCATCCAGACCCTCCATGCTGTGCACACCCCAGGCCCCCAGAAGCCCCCACCCCTGTGGTGCTGTGGGGGGACAGTGCTCCCACCCGAGGGTGTCAGACAGCCTGAACGTTATTACTGTCCGTGTTAAAAACACTGAGTATGGGCGGCGCCTGTGGCTCAAAGGAGTAGGGTGCCAGCCCCATATACCGGAGGCGGTGGGTTCAAACCCAGTCCTGACCAAAAACTGCAAATAAAATAAAACAAACAAACAAACAAAAAGAACACTGAGTATGAGAGCAGGTAGACCCCCCCCCCTTTATTTCCTGCCTCAAGTTAGCTGCCTCAGTGAGTAGCTTGGGCCTGCTGTGAAGGTCTAGACTCCAGGCTTGTCTTACCATCCCCAGTTAGCAGTGTTGCCCTTGTGCTTCCTGGGGCCTACCCTGGAGATAGCACTCAGTGTAGCCCTTGTCCAGGAGTGTGGCGGGGCTGACACAGCCAGTGTCCAATGGAGCATGTGGGGGTTCCAGACCCATTCAGGTGGGTGACAGGGTACAGCCTTGAGGAGGGAGGCTGTTGAGGGTGCCTGTGCCTCCAGGCTGGAGCAGGGGAGGGGGCCTGCTCTGGCGCCCTCTGACCCTCACAGCACTGCCTTGGTGGGGGGCAGGAGCAGCAGGTGCTGCCCAGGAAAGCCAAGCTGCTATGGGGAGGAAAGCAGAGCTCAGAGAATGAGGTGTCTGGGGGGGTGCCCAGAGGTCCAGACCAGTGGCGGAGCCATCTGCTGGGAAGAGGGGACAAGAGGACAGGGTGGGCCAGGGGGCTGCCCTGCAGTATGAGGGGATGATGGCAAGTGGCCCTGCCCGGCCTCAGACCACAAACCTGAGATGGTGCTGCAGGTGCTCCCAGTCACTGGGATCAGCGACTGCCCAGAGAGAAGTGGACCTATCGGGGACAGCCTTTCAGACCCTCTGCAGATAACCCTTACATGGACACGTGCCCAGTAGCCAAGTATACCCCAGACTTGGGTGTCGGCACCAGCAAGGGCAGCTGCAGGAGGGTCCTGGAGTCTTTCCTTTGGGCGCTGTGTCTGGCACAGGGCTGTTGGCGGCACCTGTATGTGCAGAGGCATAATGACTCCCAATGGTCCTAGCTCTGGTCAAAATTTGTGGTGGCGGGAGTGCTATGTCTCAGGCCTCACCCAAGTATGTGTACCCCGCCCAGCATCCCCCAGGGAGAAGCTGTAAGACACAGGTAGATGTGCTGGTGGCCTTTACTCTAAGCTGCTTGAGTTTTTGACATTGTCTCTGTGACATGTCTCCCCAGAGACTGCAGAGTACAGCGGGAGTGGCAGGAGCAGACCCCGGTGATGAAGAAGCACACGGAAGAACTCAGTCAACGCCTGCCACCGCAAAAGATTGTGGTATGGTGCATTGTGGGGCTGGGGCTACAGGGGGGTGACCTGGCTCTGGCCTCTTGCCTCCTGGGGGCTGTGCCTTTCCACTGTGTCTGTGCTATCCTGTGGGATGGACAGGCACCACGTTTGTCCTCAGAGGACAGCGAGGCCTGGGGAGGGGGTCACCTGCTCCAGGCCTATGCCCGCTGGGGGTGGCACCTTGGGCCTGGCCTTTGGGGCTCACCTCTGGGTCCACTGACTGTGCTTTTTGTCTGAGGAATTAGGTACTCAAAGAGGGAAGGAGCAGAGGGGTTGAGGGGAGAGCTTGAAGAATAAAGACTGTGATGGGAGGACAGTCCCAGGGAGGCCAAGAATGGTGGCCTCGGTGGCCATGTCCCTGACATAGGTTGCGGCTCTCACGTGTGGCACAAGTACCCTGAGTACAGCATCCTCTTCTCATTTGCCCCAAACCATAGGAGGATCTGAGTCCAGCTAGGCACAGGGTGGCAGGCATGGAGAGGTGGGGGGCACCAAGAGCCGGCTGCTCTCCCTGAAGGATGTGCCAGGCTGTCCTCTCTGCACTGAGAAAGGTCAGCCTTACTGCTGGGGTCTCCCCCCCCCAGGCCCACAGACACCGTGGTGGCTCTGCCACCTCCAGCCCCAGCTTGCATCCCTCCCTGCAGACAGGTCATAGGCAAGTCTGACTGAAGAAGCTTTTGTCAGAAAACATAAGTTTGTTCTCAGAGAGTTGAGCCAAGGCCACAGCGCCAGGCTGGCTCCTTGAGCCTTCACTGTTCCTGTGGTGGTAAGATGGTATCAGATCACAGCACTTTCAAGAAAGATACGCTTGGCGGGTAGGGTCCCAGCCCCATACACCCAGGCTGGCGGGTTCAAACCCGGCCTCAAGACAGCTAAACAGCAATGACAACTCCAACAAAAATTCAGCCGGGCATGATGGCAGGTGCCAGTAGTCCCAGCTGCTTGGGAAGCTGAGGCAAGAGAATCACTTAAACCCAAGAGTTTGAGGTTGCTATAAGCTGTGACACCACAGCACTCTACCAAGGGTGACATAGTGAGACTCTGTCTCAAAAAAAAAAAAAAAGAGAGAGAGAGAGAAAGAAAGATAATGCTTAAAATCTACCCTGTCAGCTCCAGCCCTCATGCAGGCTGCTGTCTGACCCCTGTCCAGTGTGCATGGTCTTGCCTGGAGGTTGCTGGGTGTCACAGATAGAGTCCATTTTATTAACTTAACATCATACCATGCTAAGCTTTCACTTTTGTTAGCATCTTTTTTCTAATATTCCATTTTCCTTATAAACAAAACAAGAATATGTATTTTACTACTTATAAGAATAAAAAGTACTTAGACAATTAAACAATATTAAGAATGCTTTTTATGCTTTGTTATAGCGAAAAAAAAAATAACAATGCTTTCATCGTCAGCACACAAAGATAGCTAAATAAATCGTCACCCCCAAACTGCGAGTTACTTATGTGGTCATCAAAAAGAATGAGTTATGTATGACATCTGCCAACTTGAAAATATCTTGAAGAAATGATTGTACATTTAAACAACACAAATTGTAGAACAGTGCACAAAAACTCTTTATTGGTCTGGAAGAACATAACCCAAGTTGCTGGCTTTGTGGAGTGGGAGGGAAGCGTGGTGTCACAATGAGGGTGAACCTCCTGTTTTTAAACACTAACCTATCATGAGATTGACCAGTTCAGCCACTGAGTCCTGAGTGGCTGTTCTGGATGGACAAGGTGTGGGTCCCTTGCATGGTAGCACACGCTAGCAGGGAGGTGGACATAGCAGCAGCTGCTGCAGGGACAGGAACCAAGTGATGTGCCAGAGGCCAGTGGGCATGCCCCAGCTGGCCACTGTGTGTGCTCCATGTAGTCCTCTTACAGCCCCCTCCTGGGTCTGTCCTGCCCGAGATATAAGTAAAATATTTTTATGGCCCAAAATGCTATAGCCAAAGCCAGGAAACACATTTGTGCCAAAATGTTGATAACAAATAATGAATAATAGCTGCAAATTTATTTTAGAAATTTGAAGAATAGAAAAAAATGGGCAGAATATGTGGCAGTTCATAGAAAAAACCATCCAGGTGACCATAGATATGCAGTAGATAGCAAACGGTTCACAGAAGAGAACATCCAGGTGTCCCTAGATCCACGGTAGATAGCGGACAGTTCACAAAAGAGAACGTCCAGGTGGCCATAGACACACAGTAGAAAGCAGACAGTTCACAGAAGAGAACGTCCAGGTGGCCGTAGATACATAGTAGATAGCAGACGGTTCACAGAAGAGAATGTCCAGGTGGCCCTAGATCCACAGTAGATAGCAGACAGTTCACAGAAGAGAACATCCAGGTGGCTGTAGATACACGGTAGATAGTGGACGGTTCACAGAAGAGAACATCCAGGTGGCCCTAGATCCACGGTAGATAGCGGATAGTTCACAGAAGAGAACGTCCAGGTGGCCGTAGATACACAGTAGATAGTGGATGGTTCACAGAAGAGAACATCCAGGTGGCCATAGATACACAGTAGATTGTGGACAGTTCACAGAAGAGAATAGGTAGCCGTAGATACACGGTAGATAGCGGACGGTTCACAGAAGAGAACATCCAGGTGGCCGTAGATACACGGTAGATAGCGGACGGTTCACAGAAGAGAACGTCCAGGTGGCCGTATTTAGATACACGGTAGATAGCGGACGGTTCACAGAAGAGA